TGAAATTAAATAAAAATATATAAAGTATTGTTAAATAAGTAAAAATACTACTACACCTTATTACGAGATAGATGTATTGTTTTCTTTTGTGTCTATATGAGCATGACAGCTTAACAGTTGGATTTTGTTTCACTAGTTTAACGTTCAAAAACACTTGAAATACTTATTATACTAATATACCTTAAAACGCTCTAATTGCAMTGTCCTTTTGTCTTTACGAAAGTTTATTTGTTAGATTTATAGTCCTCAATAAGAAATGGCAACCCTAATGTTATTGACATATACTCTGGTCCAAGAGGTTCGATTTTTTCAACCTCTTGGCTACGAACCTCTGGAACCTCTGGAACCAGGGTACATAATGTACTGTCTCAAGGTTGTAGTGTCTGCATCATAAACTGTCAATCAATTTAAATGATTGACAAGTAAGATTACCTTGATGATCGACCACAAATAAAGACAGCTCTACCAACACCAGTAGCCATGCTTTAGATGATGCCTTCATCTTGGTATGATTGGCAGGTTGATACTCATCTCTATATCATTCTTTTTCTGGAAATATATATATCACTAGTGATTAATGCCTTAAATCCAATAACAGCTCTAAATGTGTTAAGTTATTTTTTTGGGCTACCTGCGTAAATAACTGYCAATACAATAGGCAATGTGCAGTGACGCACAAAACGACATCAAAACCCACGATTATGTCAAACAGATGCAAGTGTAACGATTCGAGTAATCAAGAAGTTCGATTATTGATAGAACAATTCATCGAATGATCAAACGTTCGATTAATTAAAAACCTGAGCTACCGCGGGATCAAAATTACTGAAATACACCGTATAGCACATTCAAGAGGACATCTTATAGTATAGTYACGCCGCGTAGTGACACCAGACGAGGGGTGGAGAAGTGTCGAAACAAAGGGTTCTAGAATACATGATCGTAACTAGAAAGATTGCAGTGAGAGAAATTGTGCAATAGAGGACGATATGCAATGTAAGAATATAAAACGTTATAAATCCTATATGTTCTTCAAAAACTATTTCAACGGATATACATAAACATTTTAGTACATAAAAACTACATAAAAAATCAAAGGGCAACATCATTATGAAGTCAGAATAGAAAAAAAAAACCTTTGAGAAATCAAAAGAAAAGCTAAAAAGATGGAGTGTAAAAAGCTTTAGAAAAACCATTAGGTATTAGGTACGTTTCGGTCCCTTAATACAAATTACTGCTACTATGTTGCTATTGTGGTATTAGCAGCATTCAAATTGGATTAATTATGACTAACTATACCCACAGAAGATAAATGTATTTGTAAAGATCGTCATTAATGTAGAGCGAAATAAACAACCGCATTTTTTAAATAAAAAATCGTTTTGAATCATAAAAGTCAAAAGATCAAGATCAATATGTCTACCGATGAGTGCTTAACTATGGTAGCTRATCAATAGCGTCTATACATAAAGCACTGTACAATCATAAATCATGTCAACTAATCAAAGCAATTTAAAATCAATAATTTCCTAGGTTGATCTAATTAACCAAGCCTACTGCTTCAGAAGTTTATGGTTATGTTCAACCAAACATCTCTTAAAAGTCAGTCGGCGCTTTTGGCCCTTACAAATTCCATTCACAGTCCAACGCCCTAATTTCTATGACTGTATGATTTACTACAATAATGAAAAGCATGAAAATCGTAGGAAATTAAATAAAGACAATATATTTAAATTCTTTTACCTGTGCGAGSCAAGATCACGTGATTAACTATTGTTCATGAAATGCATGTGGAACCGAATWTTGGATTCTTAATTGCAAATATCCTTTCGCTAACAGTGGCAAACAGTATCGGTTTATGTAGTAATGCCTTAAACGATTAACTTAGTAAAAATCTTCAAACGTTCTGTAGAAGTGAAGCAAGTTGTAAGCAGGGTCTCTCTGATAAGGCGGCGAACATAAGAAGGTAGTGAAGCAGTTCAATGAAAATGTTATACGAATGCTTTGCGAASTCACTGAATATTTCAAAACAGACCACTACCGCCGCACATAGATTCACAAAGTTCAAAAATAATAAAATCATYCCTCTTACTTACCCAAAACGTCCTACAAAACCAYCATTTTTTCTACCTTTAGATTTTCAGTGTTCTATGAATAAGTTATCGTGTTATTTCTCACTATAGAGGAGGAACCCGCCGATCGATGAACAGGTTGGAAAGTGACGTCACACACGGATAGGCTTGACTTGGTTTCCCGCCAAGCGAAGCGACGCGTGCGTGAAGTTGCCAACGCTTCCCCATCAAGCATAGCGCGTTGTTAGCAAACTCAATGAGTAGGGAGGAGTCTAGGTTGTAGACCGTTGAACATGACACAATTTTGAATGAGCGAATAATCTTTATTTTCTTTAAAAATTACGTCAATTAGAGCAAATCGGTACGATAATGGTTCAGGAATTTAGTAAAACTTTCAGTAGACATTTATAACACTGCGTTCAAATTCAAAACTGCATTTTCATCATTCCTGAAAGATGAATTAGATTTTGAGAAGCTTAAAGCGTGTTTAGACAGTAACGTGACAAGAATCAAAAGKCTAAACGTCTTTTATACGGATGGAAAGATTAACAAGTTTTATGTCACTCAGAAATGCGACATTTAATCGAAAACTTAATCACTCATGAGCTTTCTTCTCATCACATCATTTGTCGCCATGGAAAAACTTTGAAACAAACAAATGMACTTAGGTCCACAATTTCCTAAGTTTTCTGGAAATKAAGGATTGCACTTAAGGCGTTAACAGTAAAAGTACTACTGAAAATGATTACCAAATTCAGTAAAGTATTYGTTTCTTTTATGAACTTTTATGAACTACTACTAACATATTTTTCTCTCTGCAAGACAAGGCAGCAACTCATGGTGAGTCATGGCATTAAACAAATTTGATCACCTAGTGGGTGGAACTGTTTCCATCGCTGACTGCCCTACGCACTACAATACTATCAAGCTAGTTTTGGGTCAATTTTTGTTTATTTGCTATTTTTCGCTTGTTTTGATGATTTYCAACGTGACTGGGTCTTAACTTTGACAAACATCTGGGCAAACATTGGAAGTCTTTGAGTGTAAATCAGCAGTGACTTTTGCAAATACTAACGGAACAGTCATCAGTCACCTTACAAAAAGTGTCGATCCCTCTTTGTACAAATCGATCGCTAATGTACATTGTATCAGTATTCTTGACGTAATTTGATTGACATCTGCTACATCCAATCAGAATGCTTGTTCAAAGAGAAAATATCAATAAGGAGACAAACTTCATTTGGTATTTGGTATCRCAATTACATTAAACCGTGTATCTTTGTACAAACCGATTGCTAATGTACAATATATCAATATTTACGTCGGTAAGTTTGATTGACATATGGATCAACCAATCAAAAAACATCTAAAAAAATATTATCAAAATATAGGAAAAACTAATTCCTATTTATCAATAYGATAGGATTATTCTAAGAACCTGTTCTATTCATCTGTCATTTACATATTCATAACAATATAAACATAGTATTAAAAGAAGTTCCTCTTTTGTCTTCTAGCAAAAGAACACCAGGCAATAGCACAGGTAACCCAACCTGCTTATAACAATTGTTGTCATTCAACAAAAGTAAATAGGATTAAAMAAGTAACATCCTTTTAGTAAGCTTTAGATTTTATCAGCAATCGGCTATGATATCGTTAGCGTCACTACCGATAAGCTTAATAACATTAATCAGTCCGATATGTGAAAAAAGGTTTAAACAATGAAGTTATATCAGTCGGCCGATAGTTCATTTCTTTATAGTTTACAAACATAATTTATTATACATGATAAGATCTAATTTTTTGTTTTCCTTTGTTCTGAATTTCAAGTTCCAAGTAAAAAAAGGAAGGAGTAACTCTAAAAAAACGATCTTTATTTCTCATYCAAGGCGTCGGTGGTATAATGGTCAGCATAGCTGCCTTCCAAGCAGTTGATCCGGGTTCGATTCCCGGCCGACGCAGATATCGTTTTGAACCGTTGAAAGTTTATATTCGCTCATACAAAGGAAATAACTTTTTCTTTTTGTATGCTGTTTTATATGATTCCCGGATTATGAGGTCAAATCAGCTAAAAACTCGGCCCAAGATAATGATTATATTATAATTTGTTACAAATTATGGGTTGTTTGTTATGTCCATTTTTTCGAAATTTCGATTTCCCACTAAAGTTAATTAAAAAGAACGACTGATTTATTCTAACTCAACGCTCTCWTYCAMCAACAATCGCGTCGGTGGTATAATGGTCAGCATAGCTGCCTTCCAAGMAGTTGATCCGGGTTCGATTCCCGGCCGACGCAGATTACCTTTTGTGTTTTAAAGAAAGTAAATTGCTGTTTCATTTTTTTTTATATATATAAAATACCATCTTTGTATTGTTTATGTTCGCTCAAACAAAGGAAATAACTTTTTCATTTTTTATGATTGTCGGATTATGAAGTTAAACGAATAACAGCTTAAAACTCGTCCAAGATAATGGATTATATTATAATTTGTTACAAACTATACTTTTTTTCAAAATTTCTATTTCCCATTAAAATCAATTAAGAACTATTAAGTAACTGTAACTCGACAATGTTATTCACCAACGCGTCGGTGGTATAATGGTCAGCATAGCTGCCTTCCAAGCAGTTGATCCGGGTTCGATTCCCGGCCGACGCAGACTCCCTTTTGAGGGTAATATTTGAATTTTAAGCAAGTAAATTGCTTGTTTTAACCTTTTTGATAAAATACCATCACTCTGTGATTGYTCGCAAAGGATTACTGGGAAAAGTCTATGACCTCCATCTTTGTTTGCGTTTGTTGTGTCAATAAAACGGAATAATAAAAATCAATGGTAATAAAAATCAATTGCAATAAAAAAATGAGAATGGTAAGCAGTTTTAATCCACACTTCCAGACGCATTCTCCGGTTTACTGAGAAAAAGGACGTCACATATATCAGGGAAATTCCTAATGTAGACATATAGGCAAAGAACTGAAAACAATCAAAACTTTAACTCCTCTTTTCTTTGCACAACTTCAGAGCGTCTATTGGATAGGCGTTACTCTGCTATTGAGAACTTCATTCCACATGTAAAGCGTCGGTGGTATAATGGTCAGCATAGCTGCCTTCCAAGCAGTTGATCCGGGTTCGATTCCCGGCCGACGCACTTTTKCTTTTATTACATCAATTTCCTTTAAATTAAATCAACATTTTGAAATTATTTAATCAGGCAATTACAAATCGACTTTTTTTGCTTTCAAGCACTCGCTGATCAGTGCTAAATTTATCGTTTACCTTTACGATCTCAGTTCAATTTCCATTCATAGGACATATTGTTTAAACGAAATCCCGAAATTCTTTATTCAGCAAGGTGTGCTGAGGAATTCCGGATAAATAGTATTTTTACCGCCATCTTTTTTAAGATTGTCCTCAAGTTTGCACAGGACTATTTGGTTCGCTAAGGACTACTGGGTATGTCTACTCTTGTAAAGTCTATGACCGCCATCTTTGAGCGTAAAAATCATTTTTAGTGAGTAATAATGTCATTAAAGTCCACAAAGGTTCTCATGCAATTTTGCTTTTTTTGAGAAAATCACTGTGTGCTCGCTCGCAAGTTTTAGGTTCGCAAAGGGTGACTGGGTAAAGTCCATGACCGCCATCTTTGTTTGTGGCTGTTGTGTTAAAGAAAACGGCATAAACAAAACATGTTAAACGGTACTTTCTTAACTTGGAACAAAACACTTAAAATATGCCTAGTCAATTTGGCAAATTTTAACTATTGAAAACAACGACTTTTGTGTCTTAAGCATTGAAATACAGGGTTATTATGTAATTCAATAAGTCTGATAGGTGCGGCTGAATCGACTCTTGACACGGTCAGGTGACAATATTCGAGGATAGTTGATCGGTTTGTTCACTGAACCAAACAGAAGTTGTTCAATTTGTTCACAAATATAGTCAACAGAGCACAGGTACTTGGTCATTTAGCACTTAAGAGCAACTTTTACACAGCTACTGTGCAATTCAAAACTACAATTATTTAACAAGGTAAGAATTTAAGGCTATTTTTAAACGCTTCATTTAGAATTTCCTTRCAAAAGAAATCAAAGTAACTAGAAAAATACGACGTTTTAAATGGAGTCCAGATCATCGGTTGATCTCAGTGTCAAAAGTCAGTCGTTGTGTCTACCTTGCGATCTGGTTTGTATTGTAAGGAAACGAGCCACCACAAAATAACAGCGGTTCATTTTTTGTTAATCCCTTGTAGTAATTTTACAGTGATGACATTTTTTTGCAATATTCCACCCCTCGTCTGAGAAGAGAAATACAAATAGAGCTTGTGGTTGTAATAACAAAATAAAGGATTTTTCATACTTGAAAAGTGAAAAAATAGGGTGAAAAATTCGGTTTTCTCTCAACGATCTAAATGTCAAATTATTTTTAGCGCAAATTTTCATGATTTTTGATGTTTATTTTYTCCAATTTACTCAATGGAAGGCTGGTTAACTTGTAAAACTGTGAGATAGTTTAGAACTGGTGGCCGTTGACTGGTACATCAATGCCTTTAAAAAATCCAATTTTCGCAGATATTTYCGCCATCAAACCACTTGCAAACCACACAGACCCATTTTCCTCCATCTCAAGTACCGTTTTATAGTATTTTTATTGACTYTTTTCCAGTTTTAAAATCTTAACGTGATCATTAATTGCAATGTTTCTTTTCTACCGGCTTAGTTTGTGACTTCATGATAAAATATTATCTTTGATGTTTACGAGTTCTTTCCTCTTGCATGTAATTCCTTTTTATAAAGCCAAACAGACCCTGAAGAACAATTCGCTAACAAAATTTTTTTTGAACAAGCTAACGAACCATAGAATTAAATACTAATAGACCCAGCACTATCTGGGGACGTRTGAGCCAKCGCTGGTCGTGAACATTGATTCATCGGTAAAATTGTGTACTGACMTACATTATTGCATCGCGGTTYCTTATAAGCGATTGGCAGCCAATCAAATAAAAAGAGGCGGCGATAAGAAAACACCCCCTATGATTGGATATTTACTCAATGCATGGACGGTGATTTGAACAACACAACAAACAAATCAAAGTGTAATTACTTTGACAATTACAGCTTAAAATCAGAGCTTTGTAGAGAAAAATACCTTATAATTTGACTTAATTACGAAAWYWTTTTTAAAACGAACTCGAAGAAGTAGTTAAAGCATACTTGTAARTATCGTTAAAAAGATAGAYAGRATGCATTATGGGTRTCAGAAACGGCAAGAACTGCGATGATAACGGACTCATATAKCGTTTAGCGTCGGTGGTATAATGGTCAGCATAGCTGCCTTCCAAGCAGTTGATCCGGGTTCGATTCCCGGCCGACGCATTATTTTTACATCAATGTCATTTTGGTCCAAGCAGTTGATCCGGGTTCGATTCCCGGCCGACGCATTATTTT